CCACGGTTCATCATTGGAAGTGATCATGCAGACAATGGACCCCGAACTAGGTGCGTTCCTCTAAGTCTTCCTACCAACATGACCATGTTGCGAAAACAAGGTCAAATAACCTCTATGAATTAAGAGATTTATCAGAGCCAAACTATTCTTCGCATACACTATGTGAAGTACAATAAAAATATGAGGCTTAGTCACATGATTATAGGAAAATGCAGTTAACTCTTCTTCGAAACGAAATAGACTAAATGCATCCTGGTGATTTTTCATTCATAAGTAGGATTTCGAAACAATCATTAGATCGTACGAATGAGATTTATTCACCCTATTTCGTTTTAGATAATAAGGGAAGTGGTAGTTGAATTTTCCTACAATCTGATGGGTAAACCCTTGGTTTCCATTGAAATTCGCATAGCATTGCATTCCAAAAGGCTTTCTCACCAACAAAGTTGTGTGGAATTGAATGGAAACCCGAAGTTTATTCATCAGATTGTGGGAAACTTCGACTTCCAGTCCCCTTATTACCTTAAACAGAATAGGTTGAATACTTCCTACCTTTAGGCAGAGTGTTGGTTTTTGTTTCCGTTCCTGTATTTTAGAATATTTTAATAAGAACTGGAAGCGTCTGCGCCTTAAGGGGATTTTGAGCGTTGCTGCGTCGCCTTGCTTGTATCGCTCCGCGTTAAGGAGTGGAGCATGCAAGACAAACTCACCAAGAATGCATTATCTCATGTCTATTCGGAAGGATCCCCAGGACACGTCTCAAGATGGCAGAGGCGCGTATTGCGGGAAAGCCTGTGACCGTCTGACCCCGTAAACTCTTAGCTCGCCCAACCCGAGTCTTCTTGCCTTCGGCGCCTGTAAAAGAGCGGAAATGGGCAATTTGTCCAAAGAAATTGGCGCATTTGGAGCCAATTTGGAGCATTTTGATTCGACTTGCCGTTTAGACAGAAAATTTGGCCGAGAGAAAGTCATCCACTGACGGCGCCGGAAGCCGAAGGAGGATTGATGGGTGGATAATGCCGAAAACTTCTGCAACCTCGATCTACTTGTGCTCGGCTTTTGTCTCTCACGTCGTGCCAGGGCATCGTAGGTTCTGGAAAGACCCATTTACGAAAAGGTTTTGTTTCTTTGCATGTGGTATTTAGTGCTCTGACGATGCCTGAAACCATGTAAGAGACGAAAGTTGAGCACAATCAGACCGCAATCGCAGGGCTTCTTGAAAAAATCCGCTAGTCAATCCTCCCCCGGCTTCCGATGGGACCAACTTAGGAATTCCTTTCAACCAACTTTTTATTCGAAATGAAAAGTCATCCCACAAATTCTCGATACTTTCATGTCCGTTTTCTTGTCTTTAGGCTTAAGATCCTTTCAAGTTAGCAAAGTCTTACAAGTCCTACCAGAATTCATACGATTCTTCCGATCCTACACTTCCATCTAGACTTTTGGAATATGAGGGTTTCTTCGATTTTCTCTTTGCCCTCCAGGAATTTCCGATTGAGGGCTGATGATACCTAGATGAGGTCAAAACTGCAGTCCGGTTGAAATGAGAATAGCTTTTGTGACGCAAAGGCAAATGTGAAATTCATTGGAAACATAAGATCGACTCATCAGATTGTTGGAAAATTAAACCACCAGTTCTTCATCAGTTTTAAGGAAATAGAGTGAATTTAGCTTTTATATAAAATTTATTGGTAGGCTTAAAAACCGGCTCATAAAGCAAAATAATAGTTCGGGAATTTTCCAGTCAACCATCAGCTCTTTAGTGAATCCACATTGCATTGGTCTTCCTATCTACGCAAGAAAGAAGGATTTTCGGTCTCGTTTTCAAATGATGTCAATTCCTTTCTGGTAGCGTGTATTTCGAAAAGTCTTGTCGACTTATATTTCAAGCTGTCTGTCTATCTGCATCAACCCGATAATCTCAGGCGACGGCCAATCCACCAATTTCGAACTGACTCAGGAACTAAGATATGAAGAAAAACTGGGTTTCGAAGAATTTCTTAGTGGTATATTTCCATTTCGAGGGAAAACTTGGTCGGAATGAGTTGCTGAAAGAATCACGAATTCCTTCCAACCAAGTTTTTCTTCGAAATGGACAGTCGTGTCATAAGGATCTTAATAATTGGCTAAACATGGTAACATGGTCTGCCTATGATGGCGGAGGTGCAGCCAGGGCTCATGTGGATACAAACTTTCGGCCGGAAGCCCTTATCTGATGTCGTCAAGACGAGAGGGTATGGAAGAGAACGAGACCCGCTACCACTTCGATGCCGAGCTGGGGCATCAAGAAATCCCCTGGAACGACATTTTTGCAAAATGTATCTTTGTCTTAAATATTAAGTTGGTGTGGTTTTAAGCTGGATTACGGTCTCCGTTTGTTGACCACAGGCGGTTATTCTTCATCTACGCAACATGGCCGCGTTGTCAGGGCGACCCTAGCCTGTACCACGAAGTCGCCAACCTTTAATGTTGACCTGGCCGAAAATCTCTAACTTTTTCTTTATTCACGATTGAGGAAAAGTAGATTTTCATCAGATCTCATGAGTAACTAGTGTCTGAATTTGGATATAGAGAAAAACTGGCTTTCAAAGCATTCCATGATAGAGTGAGGCTGGCGTAACTTTTACTTCCTTCAAAGAGGCCAGTTGAAGGGATTCGTGGAATGGTGGCGCGTTAAGCCGAAACAAGATCACCTCAGAGCTGTCACTGTAGATTTGCGCGAGTATGTTCTTGGCGCAGCTCGGTGTTGATTCATCGGCGTTATGGGACAGTGAGCCGAGGCCTGATTTGTGCAAATCTATAATCACAGCTACAAAGCACTTCTACTGTGGCCTCCAATGGGTTTGGATACGTCCGACGAATGTGACTTGCACTGAAGAGGTGGTATTCACTGCATGGAGAAGAAATGGTGTCAAATGGAAAAGGTAGAATTGACAAATTGGAAGAATTTTGTATAATTTTCAGCCTTCATCACTGCAATTTGGCGTGATTCGAGAGCAATACTTGAGGTCTGAGCAAGCACTCATTTCGCCAGTACCGACAGCATGCATCGAGCCGATAAAAAGTAGAGTTCAACTTCCGCTATCCACCTCTCCTACTGACAGATTTGCCAGTAGTGGCTTCAAACGTCACCTTGAAGAACATATCCGGTAGTGGGATTTATACTGCCCCCCTCCCGCCTCTCCCTTTCTTTACACGGTTGGGATTGTCAACATGCAACTGTAGCGAAATGGTAGAGCTAAATGCCACGTGGGGACTAAGGACAGAGTCTGTCTAAACCACTCAAGACGATGGATGGTAGGAGAAGTAAAGTGGAATTTTCTTACAATTCGTGTGAGCATGCCGTAGAATGCAATTAAATTTAGCATTCCTCCTCTTCTTCTCCTTCTCTTTCTGAAAACCATTGTTATTATTATTATTATTATCATCATCATCATCATCATAATTAGCACTACTACGATCATCACAGTTTTCATAAGCACCAACAAAGGGGTTCAAATCCGAGCCGGGAGGCGCATGGAGGTAGAAATTACTACTCTATTCCATAGCCATGCCTGCAAGAGAATCAAAAGTCAAAGGAACACTCAAGGCATTTAAGGCCTTATCTAAATTACGCGGAAACGGCAACAGCGAATATTACTATGACTTTAATGCATTTATAGGTGGGTTTTCGAGAATACCAGAAGATTCGATATATTAGCTAAATTCAGCCTACTTCGTGAAAGTTGATGCAGAACGGGTAGTTGAATTTTCTATCAATTCCATGAATAGGCTTTAGATTTCCATTAGCGTGAGCCAGTCTAGTTCAGTCGGGATGAGAATATCTTTTGGGAAGGAAGGAAAAAGCGTTAAATGAAATGGAAATGTAGGGCCTAATCAGTTGATTGCTGGGATATGAATAAAAGCTGGGTTCCCAAGAATCTCTTGGTAGATTGATGTTGACAGACCTCATAATTTGCTTGAAAAGGAAAGGGGAAAAAATGGATTGACATTTATAGAGGAAATCTACAAATTCGGGTTTTCCTTTTAATTTATTCTCAAATCATACGTACGACGTTAAGATGAGGAATGTGAAATTAATGATTGTGAGGAGTTTGCGCCTATCGGACTTTAGTCGCTAGGACCGAGAGTTGGAAAGGCAAGAGAAAGTTTTAGTTGAGAACATTTTTCGCTTAGGATTAACTGTTGATTATTTCAAAATTCTAAGAAAAAAAACGAGATGAAACCGCTGTTTAAGAAATTAGACAACTTTTCCTGCAACTTCCTTATTATACTGCCCTCCATCCTTTGATAAAAATGGGCGGTTTGCTGAGGAGATGGAACCTCAGGAGCACTTGAAAGGAAGGACTGATACTTGCCTCGGTCATGCCTTCTTCTGGAGGATCTTCAGACGTCTTCTGCCGAACAGGTTGTGATGCGGTTTTGTGCTCATGCGGTAGTTCCTGTCATGCGGAGGACTTGAAACGCATACAGAAGAGGGCTGGACATGTGGCTCCTACAGGTCGCCAGATGAAGTGGTCTAATGCCCAACCTTTTGCCGGAATTGGGGACTTTGCAGCAAAGTGTGAAATAAGAGGGCATACTGAAGGAGAGCAACGAGTGTAGAAAGTTTAGCAAGGACCAGATCTGGCTGATGGATATAATTCGGGAGAGAGAGAGAAAGAGATTGTGCATGTGTGTGTGTGTATATATGAAAGTAGGAGAGGAAACATGAAGGACTAGCGAGAAAGAAGAGATTTGGTCAACCTCGAGTCTGGATTGAGACCAAAATGGTCAACTGACCTGTGAGTATGACATACACACAACATACACGTCTCAGCATGACACAATCCGGCGTTAGTTTGGTTACGCAAACCAAGAAGTGTGGCCACACCCAGTCGCCTTGCAACTTTCCTCGTCCACATGCATGTGAGGTGGGCATGTGTTGTGGGTATGAAGGAGGTAACCAAGTCCTCGGAGGCAAGAAGTGGGTGGGATTTTGGCCGATTACTTTTCTTGGTTTATTGCTTTTCCAGAATTATTCGTAAATGATGGCTTCTGGTTCTGACGATGCTTGTAACGACGGGCGGGACAGTTACAAGCTCGTTGACGTCAACGCCAATGTCAGCATCATCGCCGAAGCCAACGTCTCGGACCGAAGACGCGCCAAGAGAGTGAACCAAGTGCACATGTTGCTCTTCGTACCGATCCGAATGTGTCCATGACGCTCCGGGGACCAATGGCAACCCGCAGGTGTCTCGATGGTGTCCGGCGATGTCGCTAACCTCCAAGGAGGTCTTAGGGACTAGCGAGAGGACGGACGAGTGTAAAGTGAGCCCTGAGTGCCTTCTGAAGCCTCGCGTATTCACAAGCGCCCCTCTGGTGCACTTGCTCAATTCAGGTTTCGCACTAAAAGCAGAGACCATACCTTCGATAGATCCTGAATAGAAGCCCAATTGAACTGAGGTCTCTCGAGGTGATGGACACAGTGACGCATGAGGTGCCCATATTAAAATGGACAGACTTCTTGTTGTTACTGGAGTCCACTTTTTGGCGCGACACACGCTTTGTCACACGCCCACTTTGGGTGGATAATACCCCATTCCACCTCGACTGGTAATCTCGCCTGTTGCCATCAGCTTGAGATTAACCCTTCCTTTGGGTGGCGTCATCTCAACGTAACCGGGCTCATTGCCGGGCTTCTTGGATCTTGACCTATAGGTTGAATGGATCAAGCCTACGGAACAACAGTTTAGATCATCCATGCTGCACTAGAACTGAAATGAAATGGTTTCCTCAATACCAGTCATTTCTTAGTAGGAAATTAAGACTAGCTGATTTTACATAATCTTTAACGAATAGCTTTATTATCAAGAAACCTAC